TTTTTAACTGCAGATTGAAGTAAAAATTTTTCCAATTAATGCAGCATTATAAATTACCTATATTCACTTGCAGTGAGTCCCTCATGAACCATAAACATATTAGACAAAATAATCATATTATATGAACGATATCAAAATTATTTCACATAGAAAGAATCAAAAAGGAAATATCGTACCTGCAATTGTTTTATAACAGATCCTTCTGGATTCTGCAGATCACATATTAGCTCCTCTTTCTTTGCCTTTAGTTCTTCCACAACCACTTTCTTTTCAGCAAGTTCAATCATAATTGGCAATTTACTTTCCATCTCCCAAAAGAGATGTTTATGATCCTTTATTTTTTCCCGATATTCATTATTTCTTGCAAGTATCATCTCAAACTCCTCTTGTATTGTTTCTGCATCACACCTCAATTTAAAATTTTCAGAATACAGGGCTCTGACTTGGGCCTCCAGATTTTCACAGTGATATTTTGTCACTTCTATGGCATCATCTTGCAGATGTATTTCCCTTTCTGTTGTCTTTGTTTCTAACTGAACAGAATTCATTTCTTTTTCTAGTTCCTGGCACTTTGCCTGTAAAATATTTCAGTGTTCATTTAAGAATTATTTTTGGAGGAAGATATGAAGTGTCTAGTTAAACACTGTTTAAAAAACCTGTTAAATTTTCACTTGTTTGATGTGGTTTGAAAGGAAGATAATTAGACTTGTGTTTCTTAATATCATCATCTTAGAGGCACAATGTAAGAATACTTAGCCTTCTCCCCTTAAATTGAGATTGAGTCTAAAATATTAAATAACACACACACACACACACACACACACACACACACACACATATATATATATATAACGTTTGAGCTGGTGAAGTCCTAATCAGACAAAAAATAACTTACGATGCCAAAAATCCCTTGAAAACCTACACAGACACATAGAGGGGTGTGTAGCTGAGAGCTGAATTAATCACAGCTATTTTCAACCCCGTAAGAAATATAGATCTAGTCCTAAAAAAGCCTCTACTTCATCTCACTGATAAGAAGTGAACAAAACCAGGAAGCAGTACTTCAAACCATCATAAGAAATCACAGAATCATCAAGGTTGGAAAGGACCTGTCATTACCTAGGGCTTTAAAGTTCTCTGAGTCTGTTTTAAAACAGATGTTTTTAAATAGTAAGATCACAAATTATTGTTGCATCATCATCAGACTATATTTTGGGATACAGGACATAGCTTCTTGTAAAGTGTGGCCAGCCCACTGACATTCCTAAAAATAAAAGATTTCACTGATGCTTCAGAAATGTTACTTTTGTGCAAAATTTCAAATATCAGTTGTTTCACTTGTAGAGCTATGCACAGATATTATAATTGGAATGCTACTATTTCCATTTGTGTTATTCCATCCTCAAAAATGTCCACTGGAATTGTCTTTTCTCAGACTTAAATGTAATTTCTCAACAGAAACTTGATCTTGAAGGTTAAACAATAATTGAAAGCTTAATAAAAGACAAAAGAAATGATCACACAGTCTTCATAAAAACTACACATATCCAGTGTTCTACAAAATAGTACTGAATAATAATATTATTTAATAACCACTTAGGATACTCACTTCAAATACAAGGGGGGGGAACTATTTTGTGTCAAAAAAGGTGCTAAAAAAAAATTATACAGTGTGGTGAAAATCTGAAAAAAAAAAGGTAAAATCCTTCTCCTATAATTTCTTAGGAAATTACAATTAAAAAAAAAAAACCACAACAAAAAGTTCTAACTTTGCATTTAGTTGTTGGGGGTTCACTTTGTGGGCTAAGCCCAGTATTTTTTATTTGTTTTTTCCAAGCAACAAACTGTTTCACCTGCTGTAATGAAGACTTAGCTGTGTTGTGGCCTTACAAACACACACCCACAGTTTTGGCTGAGCCTAAATGCCACATACAGGAACAGAACAGCCATCTAACATTTGAATGCACTCGCACATTAAGTACCACCAGCTTCTCTTGTTCAAGGAAATACTTTTTCATCGAATGAAAAATAATTTATTTAACTACTCCAAACAAGGTTTATTACCTGCAATTGGAAAAGAACTGCTTTGCTTTTTTCTATGTCTGACGCCTGTGCCTGCTGCTGCTCTGCTACTCTTTTTAGAACTTCAGCTAGCGATGGGGAATTTTCCTTGGCCATTTCAGGCCTGAAAGCTTAATAAAACATGAAAGAAATTATTACAGAGTCTTCACAAAAACTACACATATCCAGCGTTCTACAATATAGTACTGAATAATACTAGTATTTAATGACTACTTAGGATACTCACTTCAAACATAAGGGGGAAGAAAACTATTTTGTGTCAAAAAAGATGCTAAGAAAAAAATTATACAGTGTGATGAAAATCTGAAAAAAATGCATAATCCTTCTCCCATAATTTCTTACGAAATTACAATTTTTTTTAAAAAAATCAAAAAGCTCTAACTTGGCATTTAGTTGTTGTGGGTTCACTTTGTGGGTTAAGCCCAGTATTTTTGTTTTGTTTTTTTCCAGGTAACAAACCAACGTTTCACCTGCTGTAATGAAGACTTAGCTGTGTTGTGGCCTTACAAACACACACCCACAGTTTTGGCTGAGCCTAAATGCCACATACAGGAACAGAACAGCCATCTAACATTTGAATGCACTCGCACATTAAGTACCACCAGCTTCTCTTGTTCAAGGAAATACTTTTTCATCGAATGAAAAATAATTTATTTAACTACTCCAAACAAGGTTTATTACCTGCAATTGGAAAAGAACTGCTTTGCTTTTTTCTATGTCTGACGCCTGTGCCTGCTGCTGCTCTGCTACTCTTTTTAGAACTTCAGCTAGCGATGGGGAATTTTCCTTGGCCATTTCAGGCAGAAGTGAAGAACTGGAGGGATAGAAAAAGAAGTGAACTGTTTTATCTTCTTTCTATTCAGTTCTTGCAGACAAAACAATATTGAGGGCTGTCCCGTGGGATCACAGGTCGATAGATTAATTCCATTTGGTTCATTTTTAATTAGCAAGAACAGGTTACTCAGAGCTAATCACTGAGAATTATAACACTTTCTTGCAGAATCTCGCAAAATAAACCTGCGATGTGATACTGCGATGTTCTTCCGGCTTCTCTGCAGAGCAGATCGCCAGTTTGTAAGCACAGCTGTACTTTTTTTAAGATACTCTACGAGCACATTAAATGCCCGAGGCCGGGCTCTCGCGTTCCGGCCGAGTACCGGCGCTGCTGCGGCCGCCACACGGCACCTGCAGCGCTCCCCGCGCCGCCGCCCCTCAGGCCGCCGGTGCCGCCACCGCCCGGGGCCTGCGGCGGCCCGGGGGCACGGGGAGCCGGGAGAGGGGCTGATCCCGCCGGGAGCGGGACCCAGCCCTCCGGGAGTCGGAGAGAACACGGCGGGAGGGATCCCTTAGGAAACGCGTGGCGGTCTCACCGCCCGTGGCGGTGGTGCCGCCCGGCTCGGCGGTGCCTGAGGCCGTCCCGCTCCGCGCCCTCCGCTCCCAAAGCTCCCCCGGTTTCCCCGTTCGCTGTGTTACACTGCACTTGCTGCCATCATTTGTTCTGCTGACAGCATCAGGTTTTCCCGAGCACCACTGGGTTACGAAGGACAAGAGATGTGGCCCAGTTTCTTCTGACCTATGCCGTGCCCTGCTCTGTAGCCACGGACTTGCCTCTGCCCCGCTTGTGCTCCTCTAGGGAATTTTAACCCTAAATCGCACTATTTTTATGATTTGATTTTTAAATTTACCTATTTTGTATTTTTATATTTTTATAACATATTTAACTTGAAATTACAAATATTGTATGTTATGTTAAGCAACTTAATTATATATATTATTAAGCAACTTGCATATAAAAATAAATATAAAAATACTTACATATTTATAACAACTATTTTATAAACTAATAGCTCATCTCTGCATATGACCTATTTATTTAATCCAGTTTCTGAAGTGCCATAAGCTAAATATAATATTTCGTTCAGGAGATGTCAATTTGTCATTTTTCAATATTGTTTTGTATCCTGAATATTTTCTGACCTTTTCCTTCTCAGCATTCTGCACCAAAAATAACACCAGTAATTAGTTTTACTTCCTTAGTCTGGCTGAAGGAAAGAAAATGATTGCATTGGTTTCTCTCCACCAAGCAGTTCCCCTGTTAATTTTTAATGACCTAGCTCAGTCATATTTGGCAGCCAGGTGGAAAGCCTCAGAGGTGACCGATTTTTGCTAACTTCAGGAAAAGAGATGTCTGGGTAAGGAAGGAAGGACAAGATTGCCTCATCAGTCCCCTTCAGGAGGGGGAGCCAGGATTCAGCTCTCATCCCTCTGTCCAGCACATGCTGAACAGAATTGCAGGAGGGGAAATAGCAGAGCCCTCACTTTGTGTGTTTTGGACCTGGCATAAATGTAGGTTTACTGTGGTTGCAGAGAAAGGAGGAACAGGAGACAGCATTTTATGGGAAATCAGACTTTATTAATTCCTCTGTCTATTAAAAATTACTGTCCTTTTTTTCTTGCCCCTTTCTTCCGTTGTCATATACTTAACAGTCATGACTATGATTTTAATGCAGCTGAGGAAATGTATTTATTATCTTTTGATAATTGCACAAAGCCTGATATCAATCCCTCATTTCCTTGCTTGTGTTTTAACCGCTGCATTGTCCTGTCAAAGGACTAAGACTTCTTCACTTAGCTGTGTGAAATTCCCAACTGCTGCAAGAAGAAATTGCCATCCTCATTTGGGACCTGTGGCCCCAAAAGCTGACGTTGTGTAACCTCTCTATCTAAGTCCAGAATGCACTTTTTCGTGGCTGGCTGCCAAATTCTGCAGTGGAACACACAGCTACAGCTCAGAAAAGGAAACTCCTTCTCTCCGCACAAGTTTTCCTTTAACTTCTTTGCGGGGTTGTCCTGTTTGGCTGGGAGCTGGTTTGTGTTGTGCAAAGCCGGTGCAGTGTGATCACAGCAGGGTTAACACCGCTTCCGCGTTCAGCGCTCCCCGGGCACTTGTTAATCGTGTTGGTGCCTTGCAGTACAGTTTGTTCTTTCCGGTGTAACCAGCAGCAAAGCAGGGTCCCGTCAAAAAGAAGAAATACAGGTTCCTTTACATAGCATAGGAATTTCCAGCTTGTGCAAATCGGCTCCAAGATTGAAAGAAGTGAGATATATAAAGCTGGAAATGTCTGTGTATTTTGCCAGATGGTACCTTTCAGAATGCAATAGGATTGTCCAGCTGTGTAAGTAAACTCCTGTGTTTATGAAAACTGTGTGTGCCTCAGTATTTTCATTGTATGTGGTGATTTCTGTTTCTTCAACCTTGCCTAAAAAAACTAGGTTATAAAAGAAGAAGAATGCTTTATTTTAATCCAGTTTAAGACACTTAAATGTCTTTCTTTTCACCCCCTAGTTTTTTGATTTTCTTTTTTATATTTGCTCTGGTTAAAATTTTACACATATGCTATTATCTCTCTTCATTTGGGCTGCTTCAATGACCTGTTTTCTTTCTCAGGGCATCTCTCTCTGGCAGATATTAAATATTTCCTGCCATTTTAATTTACAAAAAATTATGTCTGTTCTCTCAGTTCCTCTACTAATATAAGATGACCAGCAGGATTCAAAGATGCAGGAAATTGTCAGCAATCTTTTCTTGAACAACAGTGCACTTTTAGAATTAGATTTCTGGGGTTCTTGAAAATTGCTTTTTTTACATCCACCCTGGGCTGTCTCTTCTCTGCAGCCTAGTTTTGTTTCCTTCATTGTTCTTTTTCTATATTCATTTTGCTTTTCTACTTTTTTCTCTTGTTACCTTCCTCACGTCACATATTGTTACCATTTTCTTTGACCTACTTTTTTTGATATCTGTGCAAGAAATTCTCATAACCTCCAAATGTCTGTCCTGTCAGTTTCAGGAAGTGAGCAAATAGCTAATGGGTAGCCTTGGCTTCAAGTTTGTGCAAGTGTTTGTCTTGAATTGTGTACCAAAACAATCAACTGCTTAATAAATGTACTTATTTTTTTGGATGTTGCTTTAATGGAACACTGGTACTGTAAAGCATGTTAATTAAAACCTGAATAACCATAAATACATCTTCCATAAGCTAAAATGTTGCTGTGAATGTATTTTGAGAAGGGTTTTTTTTTGGAGTGGCTTAGAAAGGAATCAGTTTTGCTGTGATTGTAAGCAAATTTATTCTGACACAACTGTCCTCACTAGGACTCTGTGATGCAAAGCTGGAAGGATATGAGGATGAATCAGCCCCATTGTTCTTATGTGTACATCCCAATAATTGCCCCTGTGGAGCCTTTGCAGTGCATACACAACTTAATAATAATGTATGCAGTTACCTCTCCCTCATCAAACACTTTCCTTCCACCCTTTCTTTGGTGGTATTTTTCTGGGCAAGTAGAAGAACAGCAATGAGCTCTATTTACCTTCCACTACTGACATACCTGAAGTGGAGCAATAATCTCGTTTTGCACTACACCCCTCTGTTGTGCTGTCTTTCCTGTGACTATTCCTTATACTTTGGTTGGAATTGTGTCATGCTCAGACAGGCCTCCCACAGAGAGTGTCAGGGCAGGGAAGGATATACTCTGATTTTCCAAGTCATGGTCTTTGGCATGAGTCTGTTTCAGCACTGTTTTCTTAGCAAGCTCTTTACTCTAAAATCCATTATCAGCTGTGTGTAAAGAACACTCTGAGCAAAATCAGGAGTCATAAATTCCTTGGCAGTTGCTTTTATTTGCTATCACATTTTGATATTTTCAGCTCACCTGTTTTTATAGTCGCCAGTTAATCTTTGTAAGTGTTCAATTCGCAGAAAGGAAAACATCATTTTCAGTCAGGATTATTTTTCTTCCAGTCTGGAGGAAAGAACAATGAAGAAAATACAGAATGTTTTCTGTAAAACCTTCTCTAAATAAGCCATCTTTTAAAACCACAAAGGTTTTTGACCTCTCATTTCAGTGGAGAAACTCTGGGAGTCCACAGACAAACATAAACTGCCAAGGAGTACATCACATTTACCATAATGATAGGCCTCAAGTACACATGGAAGTAGTATTTTTGCAGGGTAATGAAGTGATGTGAAGCCAGAACATTCATGTGGTTACAGGAGAATGAGGTCTTGGGGCAGGAAAATTGTGCCGGGCATTATTTAGTTTGGATAGCTCGGGTAGCAGAGCATTGATTTCAAAGACTTAAATTCTTTGTTCCTGCAAAGATGTGAATTTTCCTACAAGTAAATTATATTCATGCACAATTTGTTGCTGAAAAAAGTTTTTAAAGAATACTCTGAATGATTATGGGCTCTTGCAACTGTTGGTAAAGTTGTATATGTTTCTCCTAGATCAAGTACAGTGCTTAGTCATGAAATCTAAGTAGGTATCTTCGAGGCTCCCAAAGCAGAGGGATCTAGCCTTTTGTTCCAGACCTCTGGATGCCTGCACTGGAAATGGAAAGATTATCAGAAAGAGAGAAAAGAAAGTAAGACACTTTTGAGAGAATATATAAAATAGTAGTAACATAGCAACTGAGAGAGGAAAAGATGGATTTGACAAGTTTCCACAGGTAGACCTAGCTGGGCTTGGACTAACAAAGTTCAGAAAAGGGAAAAAACTAACCATGGAAATTGGAATTACACCATGGACCACAAAACAAAATGTGAATGATAGATAATATTGGATAAGCTTAACACATCTTGATTTCAGAGTGGAGTGCAGCTAGCAGAGTGAAAAAAGCGGAGGTAAGAAGTTGTACACCGTATTCTCTTGCTTTAATTTGGTTCTAAGTACTTCTTCCATTACTAGGTAAAGTTTCAGTAACCAGTACTGGGATCTTGTGCGTGCTGAAATGAACTGTCCTGGTCATGTGCTCATTCACACAAAAGTCAGAAATTAGCAAGTCAATACTTTTGGAAATGCAGAAGGGAGATGTATGAAAGGTCTTGTGAAGGCCTGTGGGAAAAAATGTCATTGCCCTCACAGTTCAGCACCCTACTGCCAGGAGGGTAGCAGACATGAGCTCCACCTCAGACTAAACACCTCCAAAGAAATTGCTACAGAAACTCCTCCAGTCCCAGGAAGCTAAAGGACTTCTGTATTTGTTTGCATCATGGAGGCTGGAGAACAGCCCATGAATCATGTCAAGAAGATCCATTAGGATAATCAGGGTTAATAGATTCAATAAATCTAATCTTATGTACCAACCTTTCATCATCCCTGACCTGGGAAAGACCTGAAGTAGGTGGGGTGATAGGGAAATACCTAAATGCTTAAATAAATACATAATTATTTCCATTTCCGCTAGTTTTCTTTTGTTGGAATTTCTTTTGATGCAGCTGGGAAAGTGTAAGTCAGTAATTAACTGCTACATGCCTTCTCTACACAGTATCACTGAACTAAATGTGGTAACATGGTTCTGTGTTCAGACTAACAGTGCTGTTCTTGACTTTTTGTTTGTTTTTCATGTTTTGTTACTACTTGGCAGCTGGAGAAACCTTTAAATATCCTGGAATATGGTGGAAGCAGTACTGATAGATCTGTTCAGCCTTGCACCCCACTTGCAGAACAACATCCAAGGATTACTACACAACACTCTGGAAGCTATTGAGAAATGCTCTTCCATCCATGCTCCATTTGTTTATGTCATGTGTTGCCAGAGTCAGGGGAGTGAAAGGAAAGGAGAACAAGAGTTCTTGCTTCCAGCTCTGAGAGGTTTTCGGAATTTGAAGAGAAAACTGGAGGTGGTATGTGCTCAGACTACAGCTGCTGCTTTGTACACCATCAAACAGAGACTGGATGAAAAAGACCTGAGCATCATTAAAGTTATTCTCCCTACCTTAAGAAAAGACTTAATGAAAGTATATATTGACCATCTCTTTACAGCAGTCTATCAGTTTGAATTCGAGGATTTACAGGTGGTACCTGACAGTGAAAGCCTGCAGATATCAGAACATCAGCATGAAGGGCAAACGCTTCCTTCACAGGACAGGGCACTCATCCAAAGTGAGATTCAGATGTACTTGGAAAGCCTGCCAAGCCTGAAAGGGGAGCTCACCATCCTCAGATCTTCCCTGATCCCAGGTAGAGAATTCCAGCTAACAGTTTTTACAGAGACTTACCAAGCATACTTCTTCCAGGGAGTTGCAAAATGAGCAAGATTTGGAAATGCCTTCAGGCATCATATAACTCCATATGATGTTGTAATAGTGTATAATGTGTATAAAAGGAAGAAGTGTCAATAAAAATACAGCAGAAGTCTGGCAAGACTGTTCCAGGCCTGAGCATGATCCAAGAAAAGACAGTCCTGGGTTTAGGGAGGGCAGACCATAAAATCTCCTCCTGTCTCTGTGGGAATTACACATTTCAAGAGTTAACATCATAATTTGGAAAGGCAGGATAAGAGTTTCTGGTGGTCTGCAGCCCCAGACACACTTGATATCTTTAGTGTCCCTGCTATAGCATGACCGTGAACAAGAAGGAAATTAGGAATCCTTAAATTTAAATACCACAGCTAAATTGAAAGTAAAGCAATACTCTTACTTGATTGGCTGATTCCAGGTCACTTCAGTATAAACTCATGTAATAGCTGGTTTGATCTTGTTTTGAAAGGAATTGTCTGTTGTGTTTTCTTGCCTTGCCAGATGATATTTTCTTACATGGGTTCACCACAAGGACAGGTGGGATCTCCTACATACCAACTCTAAGCTCCTGCAATCTCTTCAGCAGCTCCAAGCGGAGGGACCCACAAGTTGTTGTTAAAGAAAATCTCCGCCGGCTAGCTAACGCTGCAGGATTTAACCCAGAGGCTTTTCACAGAGTCAAGGTATCTTATAAAATAATGGATTCAAGTAAATGGCTCAGATATTCTTTCATGTATTGCTGGCTAAATTGTAGGCATTATTCTTATCTTTGTCAGCAAGAACCTGTGATAAGCAGGACAATTAAAACATTTATGCTGGCAGTTTATCTGGGGGAGTAGCCATCCAAACTATCAGCATTTGTCACAATATGGAGAAGCAGCACTGATTCTTCCAAGTCTGTTCTAATATCTAACTTACCACCAAGTAGAATAATCAAATAAATGGTCAGAGCACTTTCTCCTAAAAGAAAAATACACCATTGCTTCTATAGTGGCTTTATACTGATACATCTTCACAGCATTTGAACAAGGGAGACCTGATTTCCATGCGTAAACAGTTAGTGCATAAGAGTGTTTCATGTCAGAGAAAAACCTTGTATTAGTCATATCTGTGTTGTTTTGCAGCCATATCACTGTCCAGTTCTCTTTTTGTTTTGACAGGTAGATCACGCTAATGCTGTGTGTATTATGGGAAAGACAGAGCCTGACAACTATGATGGAATAGTTACGAATCAGAAGGGTGTCACGCTGGCAGCTCCAGGTGCTGACTGCATACCCGTGCTCTTTGCTGATCCTGTCAGAAGAGCCTGCGGTGCTGCTCATTCCGGTAGGAATTGCACTCCCTGTGCAATGCAGAGATTTCCTGGGACTCAAAATGAGATATAAGAACCCAAAGCTGGGCTTTCTTCTGTCTGTTCCAAACAATACCCAATTGCAAACTTGGCTTCTGTCTATTCCAAAAAATATCTCTAGCTTGAGCCTGGTTTTTGAGGGTTTTTCCCCCTCTAAAAACAACATTAAAACATTTTGACCACATCACAAAACTATATTTCTGACGTATTTTAGTTGTAGTCCCACTTAAATGTTTCAAGCACAGAGGACCTGTAAGGTATGCTCTAATTTCCCAAACCAGGACACTTGGGAAAAGGAACTATGGCATTCTAATCTAAACACTCCCCCCGCCGCCAAAAAACACTAAAAACAACATTAAAACTCTTTGACCATATTACAAAACTATATTTCTGGCATATTTTAGTTGTATTTCCACTTAAATGTTTCAAGCACAGCGGACCTGTGAGGTATGCTCTAATTGCCCAAACCAGGACACTTGGGAAAAGGAACTATGGCATTCTAATCTAAACACTTCTCTCTAGTTTCTATCTCCACAAAATTATATTTGAAAACTGATTGCTGTTAATGTGAAATTTGGAGGGGAAGGGGGAGGCCTTCTAAGCTAATTTATTATTAGATATCATTATTTAATTTTAGGTGTAAATGCATCTCCTAATTTATACCTTTAATAAGTGCATTTATTTTTAGCTGCTAGAAAATTAAAAAGAAAATATATACCAATTTTTTTTCAACCTCTCATGTCTCACAGGATGGAAGGGCACATTGTTAGGCGTATCTATGGCCACAGTGAATGCTATGGTTTCTGAATACGGCTGTAACGTGAAAGATATCCTTGTGGTGCTGGGCCCATCTGTGGGACCTTGCTGCTACAAACTTCCTCATGAATCAGCAAAAGAATTTCACAGAATTGATCCAAATTGTGTGAGACTATTTGACTCTGCAAGTCCTTATATTGATATCAGAAGAGCAACGAGGTAAGCCTCCTGAGGGAACAAAAGATTAATTCCACATTCATTATAAAAATTTACTTTGATACTGTATTATTCAGCACTAATATGGTGGGGGTTCTCAACAAAGTACTCTCTAGTTCTTTCCAGATCAAGAAAGAACACTTTTGAATGAATGGTATTTGCTCACTTTTGCTGGATTTCAGCAATTATTTTATTGTTATACTGTTACATATGGTTAGTCTATGGATTATAGACAAAAGTTCAAATTTAATGTGATTTTACAGGTTGCAGGAAAGTAATTATTTTAGTCTCATACTGAAAGAAAGAAACAAAAAAAGCAAATGAAAGCCCCAATCACAATATTGGCACAGTTTGTTCAGTTGGTACTTGAGGTTCTGCCTTAATGATAGTGCCTTATGGAATGTGAAGATGTAAAAACAGTAATATTTTTTGTTTCTCTTTTTTTTTCAGGATTCTTCTTGAGAGAGGTGGGATTCTTCCCGAGAACATCCAAGATGATTCTATCACAGACCAGAACAGAAACATCACTTTCTGTACTGCATGCCACCCTGATAAATTTTACTCTCACTTTCGTGATGGCACTAACTTTGGGACACAGATTGGCTTCATATCAATCAAAGACTGAGACAGTATCTCTTACTCTAGAACAGCATTTAGATAATAAGTCTGCTGCATCATCTGGCATCCTGCTCTCCGCATAGAAGTTTTTCCTCCTTTCTTTCACAGACTTGTAGTAGGGAATCCATGGGTCATGAGATTCTCCTGCTTGTTCCATCCCTTTCCCTTTTGAGGCAAGAATAAGTATCTGTGCTGTGGGGACAACAGTTCTTGTATGAGACAGGGTGCAAAGGAAACAAGGACAAACCACGCCAGTGGCAAAATCCTTCTACAAGATCCAGATACAAGCTCCGAGTTTATGGATCCTCCTTGACCAAATATTTTCCAGAAATCTCACTGTCTTAAGTTGGTGGAAGCCCAAAAAACACCAGTCTTCATTAGCTTCTGGTTGAGACTGCTGAATGACACTAAGTATGACATTGCTAATACAGGAAGGGAAGCCAGCATTGCATGTTACCTGTTTGAGACACTCAACTTTGATAGTTTCAGCTGAAGCCTTACAAAATTTTGTGCATGGGATTAATTTTCTTCTTTGGATTAGTTTAAAGAACTCCAAAATAATTACAGGAATTTTCCTATGGAAAATAACTTGAAGGTAAGAAGCAAGCAGGCTCCTTTGGGGCAGATATTGAATATATATGAACTCTCACAATTCTGTAATTTTTGGCTGTAGGAAGGGTAGGACTAAACCCTGTAATTTATGATGTGTATGTTCATGTCTCCTTAGGATTTTTTTAAAATAGTGGTGCTTTCATAATGTCATTGACACACTTTCAACAATGCTGAGTTATCCAATAAATATCTAAAAAGTTCTGTGAATTTATCCTGAGTAAATTTTACAGAACAATAGTTGGACTTACGTGCCTTACTAAGCAAATTCTAAGTGTGCACTGTTTTATTTTGGCCAATAAAAATAATGCCTCTAGATTTTACAACAGACATGATGTTTTCTGACACGCAGACAGTGAGAGATTGCTAACAGTAAAGCTGTGCTGATTGCGGCTTGCAGAGCTGCCAAGCACCAGCCTTGGGCCAGCGGTGCTGTGACGTACTTTCTATTTTGGGTTCTGCTAGCTTTCCCTGATCTGACTGCTCTGCCCGCTAGAGGTCAGTGCTCGCTCACGCTGCTCTTCCATCCTGGAAGCGCGGATGGATGGATGGATGGATGGATGGATGGATGGATGGATGGATGGATGGATGGATGGATGGATGGATGGATGGATGGATGGATGAGGGTCCAAACCATGAGGTTTGCAAAGCACCGCACAGCACGCTGCTACTTTTGCCTCTATAGTCACCTATATAGTCAAGTTATTGTAATATTTGTGCTTGAGGAATAATCTGTTCTCATTTTGATTCAGAGCTGACCGAATTAGACCTTTCTTTGTTTTCTGAAAGAACAGACTTTTTAAAAAAACTTCCTTTTATCTGTGAATGGTATTTCTCAGAGAAGAGTCTGGCTCTGAGTATGTTCTCTGACTGTCACCATCAACGAAAAAAATATATTTCCGCCAACTATCTTACTTCTTCAGAAATGTTATTCTTCTGCTGCTGTAGCCCTGCAGTCATTGACTGACCATCTTCAGTTGTTGACTGACCATCTTCATTTACCTTTTTTTAACTCCTCCGTTACTTTCACCATTCAGCTGGCTTCAAACCAGAGTCTCAGGATCCAACAGGGGCAGCACTCACACTACTCAGCTGAGAGTTGTCAAGCACATTGCTGCATACCAGCTAATGGTGTGTATGGTATGTGTTACGTGTATTATTGACTTGTTCTAAATATAGGATAGTATAATTATATGGAGACTGGCAGGCTTATCTTGCTACCCTAATTAAAAACACCAACACAACAGACTACCTTAACCTTTTAGTTCTGTCCCTTCACCCTGGTTTCTGTTCCGGTTATGGGTGCTGACTGACGTAGCAGTGAGGTGTGTAAGGTTCCTTCTTGAAGCTACAGAGGCAGTGGCACTACATGACTTTCAGTCCCTGCATCTGAAGCTCAGCCAAAGCTGAGTGCCCTTCACCTAAACCTTTTCCCTTGTGTATCAAGGGTATGCCATCAAAAACAGCTGAGTTACTCGGTTCTGCAAGGTACTGACAGCTGAAGCATCATAGGGGCCCATGTGCCTGCTGTTATCCCATCTCATCTCAAAATTGGCTTTAAACTAATTCATTTATTCTTCCAGTAAGTACAAAAACCTTGCAGTCATGCTACTTACCACAGTTCAAATGCTCAGCAGTATATTAGGTCACATTAACATGATACTGAGAGTAAGCCCTGTCTTGTTCTTACCTGCTCAAGGATTGCAGTAGAGATTTTACGTTTAGAAAAATGCCATTTACAGGTCATGGTAAGGCTGTGCAAGCTGGAGACTATCAGAATGAGCAGGAACACCAAAGTCTTCACCTTTTGGAAGACAAATCATTACCACAATTGTTTTGGTTTTTTTTCTTTTATATGAATTACCTAGACTGTAAACCTTTCAAGACAGGAAACATTCTTTTGGATGACATGGATGACAGAGGTGGAAAACTCCATGACCGATAAGAAAATATTGTAAGGTTCAGTCTCAAATCAGGCTAGGCTCTGAATCATTACTTCTTTCAAAAGTCCTTGCTACAAAAGCATTGTAATCCTGGTATTAAAAAAAAAAGTTTGGAGGCAAGGCGTGACAAGAAGGGGACTAAGCTGTTTCACATCTGTTTATTTACTTTTCATTCTTGCTGCTCATTGAAGGAGGCAAGCACAACACTCCTGATTCATCACCTCTAGAGAAGCTCTTAAAATACTTCATAAATTGTTCAGCTGTACCTAACTAATTACCAGATCCCATTTATTAACCTAATATCCATTGAATTTATAAGCTGCATTTGCCCTATTATTGTAATTAAATGACATTATTAATTATGATAATGGTGTGCCCTGAGGAGAGCACACGACATGATCACATTGAATATTGTTTTTGCTAGTTGTTACTGTGCAATTAACATTTGTTGCTATTGTAGATTCTCTATATGGGCCTTTTTATTTACATTATATACTTGAATGAAGCGTACTGAAACATGTCTGAGAGAGGCTTTATTCACTATTCCAGTAGAAGAGGGCAGCTCTAGCAAAGATGTCTGCCTGGGGAAGCAGTGTGCAACTTCAGAGAAATAGATCAAAGCCTGAGATAATTAGTGAAATGTTTATCCAAACCATGTCATTTACTGCCATAGGCATAGCAAAGGTGAAAACTATTAAGGAAATTATTTGAAAAATGTTTTTAATGCGTTTGTAGAAGTCAGTACCATCAGTGACTGCTGGTCTCTCTGTGCTGACAACCTGAGGAGACAGGATGGGGGCAAGGCAGTTTTGCATTTGTCAGTTGCCTTTGTGATTGGCTACAAATTCAGAAGCCATGGGCCTGGATGTTCAGCAAAATATATGGGCACATCTTGACTCACAGAAAGTATGTCATCCCTCCCAAATTACATGCATTCAATTACAGGAAAGCATCTCCTTTCCCCAGCAGTATCATGGTCTTGCAAAGTGGTAGTCTTTGCTTGTGTTGTTTTCCTCATGCTTATCTCCTGTGCATCACTGCATTTCTGTCCAGCACCTCTCAAAATCCCCCTGTGAGGACTGTGAATCTGGTCACAGGGGGATGGAAGACACAGATGCTATTCTGCTCAGAGCAGCACCAGTGCTACTTTCTTTTGTATGCTTGTGCTTTTTTTTCTTTTAGCAGCAGTGTGAAACTTCTTGTTCTCAGCACAGGGTCTTTATCACTATCCTCCAAACCATTCCCATTTTACAGGTTTCCAAAAGAGCTACAGCTTTTCAGCTTACAAAGCAAAGAAGCCAATATTCCTAGATTCCTTCACTGCTGTCCTCATTTCCACTCCCTGTTCAATTTGCTGCTGGGCAATGCAAAGAGGGAGATGAGCTGCACTCATTTGTGCTGAGGCCCAGAGGGGCTGTGTGTGTGCACTCGCCTCGATGTCATGTGTGTGAAGCTTTTGTTCTCTGAGTACTGAAGTCCTTCCTGAACTCCAGCCTCTTGTGCAACAATATTAACAGGAGAGTGCACTGACAGGAGTGGTAAATCCTATATGTGACAGAGGAAATAGTGTATTGACCTGCTGAGGGATTTACATACCTCCAAAGGCTGACAACAAGCTCTGCCTGTGAGGCTCACTTGTTCTACTTTCCATTTCCAGCAGATATTATCCAGTGCTTCCAGATGAATGACTTGGATAGATATGTATGTGGATTTAAAAACTGTCCTGGTTGAGTATATTCTTTTATCCAGAATGCTACTAATCATTTACAAAATACAGAGATTTTGCTGTTGTGCTTGCTTTAAATATACAGTGCCTATGGCTGTACAGCTAAAAAGCATGATTATGTATTTCCCAAAGGCATGCAGAGAAATAGGAAGCTAGCTTTTTTAAGTGGTCCCTCTGATCTTTCATTAATAAGTGTTTAATTTACAGTAGCATCTCGCATTACAAATACTTGGCTGTCTTCATCTGCAAGCTCTCAGGACTGAGAAGAGACCCACAGAAGGATTTTGGGAGCATGGTCTCCAAAGGACAGCAGGACTGAATTCTCTCTCTTATCCTTCTACGAATGCAGCATCATGTCTCCAGGGCAACCTGAATTCTGACAGTCATGGGAGCAAGGACATGGCATGGATTTCTATTTGATTCCTGCAACTGAAAAGAGATCTGAGACAAAAATCAATATGTGACTAGACTAAGAGAGTTCTTTTCACAATTAATTTTATCTAAGGATTAATTTTCTATCTTCTTGTGCAAATGTAATTCAGAACTACTAACTACTGCGTTTGTTTTGATCTTTCCCCTTCTACATGTAGCAAAGGCTTAAACATCTGAAATAAATAGGTTGCAGCATAAAAATGAGGGGTGAGCCTACCAAAAAACTGAACACGCATTTTATAAGGGAGTCGAAAACAATGTTTCTATTTCAAGATGTATAATTTTTTGCAATATTTTTAAGCAGTGAATCGTAGTTCTGGTTAGATGTTTCAATTGAAAGTGATTTTTCCAATGACAGCTGTATGAAATAAATACCTTCGTATTTCTCTTTGAGGCACTGAGCTCTATCCTAAAGCAATATTGAAGCATATGTTGCAGCTAAAGGAAAACATTTCTGTTCTGCTTTGGTTATCTTTCTTAGAAATATGTGAGCTTGATTTTTCTGCACAAGAATGAATCATAAAAAAGTCAGCTGTAAAAACAAAATTGTGACAGGTGACTCAAACATTTTCAGTTGGTTTTAACATGTGCTTTTATTAAATGCTTCATAAAACTATCATTAAAAAATCTGGGTCGTGCCTGTGATTTTATTTTGACTCTCTGCTTTCTTCTTTATACCATCCCCATAAAAAGCTGCAGGACATGAAAGGTGAGTCAATCAAGAAACTCCTTAGAGAGGCTCCTTTAGGTTTGTTTATTGCTGTATTTGATACTTAGATCTTCCTCAGTTCCCTCAATTACCCTGCAACTTGGATCCATGTGTTCCCTCAGCACTGTAACTCTATGCTAGCCATGGCAGAAGCACAGATGCAGAGTTGATACTGATATTTGTGCTGTAGCTTTTGTTTAAACTATATGTTGCTGACATAAATGACATTGGGACAAAAATATGGTGCCATGATGGCAAGATATTTTTGAGAAAAATCTCCTGAGCAATGCTGCATTCACTTATGGTTTTAGGGGCTAGGTTAGTAGCAATTTTTTCCTTTTAATGAGACTGGGAAAGTTAAGGATAATTCTACACTCATTATCTAGTAGATGTGTTCATCATAGTGACACAGTTTGGGTTTTAGAGTCTTGTCCTGTGTACTAATATATTTCTCTAATTTCCTTTAACAATGGCTTCTTAAAAGGAACTGACTGTGTGTATATTGGAAGTGCAAACTTCAGCTGACCCCTCTTCATTAGTTTACATTGCTATTTAACATAAAAGTCTGTTAGAAAATACAGGCACCACAAAATGGGAAAGTTGGACTGTTGAAACTAAAATGTTCTTTTAGGAGAAGGGGTAAAGATTTAGACAAAGCCAGTTTCAACACCTTCAGGATGACTGATTTCAATACAACTTTTGAAGCGGCTCTTATTTCCTGTTTTGAATATTAGGAGTAATCTGAAATAAACTTTAAAACTGAAGAAGTACCACTGCAAATTAAAACAAACATTAAAATCTCAATTTATGCTGAAAAGAGTCTTCCACAGAGCTCATCTTACTATTTATGTATATTTATCTGCATGAACCAGTCCTCTTATTTCTTCAATAAATATTTCCTTCATAGATTGTAGATTGTTATATTCCCTTCAATAAATGTTTAGTTAAGTTTTACATACAACATTTAGCTCCATTAGTCATTCCTAAGATGACCCTTCAGCTCTTAGTTCTCCAGATTCTGCCTTATTAATGTCAATTAGGTGTTAATAAGCTTTCACTTACGTGCTGTTTTAGAAGGAGAGTGACATTTGAACTTTGTGCAAAGACTTGGTTTTTTGGGTGGTTGTTGTTTTTTTTTTTTTTTCTGGTAGGCTTTCAAAGTGGTGCTTTTTGATACAAAAAAAAAAAAAAAAAAAAAAAGATTGAAACAGCCTTAATTGAATGACCTTGATTTCCCTATTCTCCCTATTTTACAAAAGAGTCATAACCTCTTGCACTTCAGTTAGGATTTATTTTAGGCTTCCCAGCTATAATTCATAATTCATCACATTGTTCCCAGAAACAATCTTCATGAAGGAGGCTCAAACCAGAAAGTGAAAAATAGTTGTTATTTTTGAGGCTAACACAGAATTTATGGTAGGAGAGCATTTATAACTTAAGCAAAAACTTTTTAAAGTATCTGAGATTGGAAAGCTGATACTAGGAAACTAAAACAATATGGAAATAATTTCACAGTTTTTGCAGGAAGAAAAAATACCCATATGTGTGATGCTGAAAATTCATTCCTTGAATTATATTCACATCAGGATTGGATGCCTTTGTATGTACTCATTTATCCCTAGCAAACTGAGCAGGGGCTAGAGGGAAAGAATGAGGTTGTTTGCCCACTATAATAAATTATAGGAGAAAAGAGGCATACAGCAGCATTCCTTTTAGCAAGTGAGTTAAAGAGTGCACAGGCTAATGATGAACCACTTTTTATGGAGCCAATATCTGAGAATGAAAAAGCAGCCAGTCATTCCTTGGCTCTGCAGCAGTCTTGGAGGCTGTTATACACAAACAGAAGCAGGGAACAAAAATCTCATTTGGGATGCAGCTAGCCTGAAACAGATATCCATGGTGAGACACTCTTGGATACAAGAGGCAGAAAAATACAGCATCATGATGATGAAGACATTTCTACACCTGCCTATTAAAGATTTAGTGCAAGAAGAATTTATTGATGTGGAAATGTGGCCCCCTACCTTATTGTCTGAGCAGAGAATCGTTCTGCCAAGCATCTTCCTGTGTGTAGCTCTTTACCACAGTTGCTAAAGCTATTGAGTCTTCTTTGTGTGATCATGATTCTTCCCCAGAACCTGGAAGGGTTGGAGTATTGAATTCTTACGGACTTGTCTCAGTTCTCCTTTTTCTTCATCCCTGATTCAAACCCTGCTACCATGCACTCACAAGCTCCCAATCCATGCAGGCAGGGAGAGGACCACAGTTAATTGTGGGAGGCAGACAATAACTGTATGTATTATCTGCATGCAGGACTCCGGGACCTTGCTGGGGCCAGAATAATCGCCATGAAGGGCAAATCTGCCCTTGCCCACTGCAGCAGTATTTCTGGACTGAAAATACGGAAGAGAAGCTGCTTTTTGAAATTTCACTCAGCTTGGCTAACAGCCCAATTCAGCAGACTTGGAAGATTTTCCATCATAATATTTCTCTGAAGTGAGCTGTAAGAATAAATGCCATAATGTGTGTTTGGCTCAAGAGATGAGAGTCTAAATTTTGAAGAATCTTTTCTTATTTGTTATGGAACAAATCCCAAACTTACTGCTCAGAAGTCCAGGCACCCTGCTGCTATGAGGCCCCATCTGAACATCTTGAGTATAGGGGGCAAGTACTCTCCTGTGTGAATAATTGCTAACATTTCTAATCTCAGCTGTACTGATTACTGTGGCAGAAGTTATTTTACAATGGGCAAGGCAGATTGACCTCCTGATCAGTCCTAGAAGGGCACAGAGGACAAGGGGAATAAATATTGTGAAACTACTCCTTACTTACATGGCAGCTACCTAAGACTCTAGACAAGGCTTCAGTGCTGAGAAAAGGTAGATCATAAAGAGAAATAACCCAGTTATCTTGGGTTCTAGTAGAAACATGTGGAATGGGCAAGGTAGATTTTTTTTTGTACCTTATCCACTGTATATTTTGCTCCAGTTTGTCCAGTACAAAGTCACCAATCATCTTGAGCACTACTGGCTTTGAAGCAATAGACATTTCTGATATTCTTGACCCTGCCTAGCTCAGCCAAATTGGTAGTAGTAGATTCAAGATTTTGAGTGGTTAGTTTAATATGTGTTCCACACTTCTCATAACAAAACATTAAGGAGAAACTTGTAATCTGTTTATTTATGGTGGTTTTATTCTTCTTCCTGGATAATGCCACTATGAGATTCCAACTCTGCAGACAATGCACAAAGATCTGAATGGTTTAGATATTAAAGATCTACAGACCAAGAGGCATTGTGTCACACTTCCAGGCCCTGAAAGCACCATCCCAAAATTTCAGAGACATGAGGGTCTGTATACATACCAGAAAGTCTCAAATCTGAGGAAGGAGAAGGGGAGATTTCCAGGACATGACCAAAGAATGGAAATCCCATGGCTTTTCCTACTATGTGTTTAGGGGGCATCTGCAGCAGAGTTTGCATTTGTCGCAGAGCACCCCAAATGCACAGCATGTACAATGAAAAAACAGCACTGTTGCGTGTGTTTTGGGAGACAGCATTGGTTTTGGCGCTGTGCTGTAAGAGCTTGTGACCCTCATACCTCTCAAAAGTCATACCTGTCCACCTTGGATGCTGTAATGCTCTACAACAGTTTTAAACTGGCTATGGATGCTGTTAGAAGGCCCACTGTGTGAAAGTGAATGCTTTTCTAAGGGATGGGGATATCAGAATTCTTGAATTCTGAACATGCAGTTTCTACAGACCAGCTCAGGAAAATTTGAACTGTTTCCTGCTTCCTGCCTTGTCCATTGTGGGAAGCAGCATGTTAATTCTTATTTATTTTGTAGAGAGCAGAGGTAACAATTTGAAATTGCTGTAGCAGTTTTACTTTTGTTTGCAGATTGCAGATTTCATAGGTGTGGTTTGAGTTAGAGAGGATTTAAAATGTTCAGCTCTGAGCAAATGTTTTGTGGATGTTGTGGTTTGTGTTTTAAATTACTGACTAGCTGTGATTAATCTGATTAGTCCTTTGTCTGGAGGAGTGTGAATTA